AAAAATAAAAAAAGAAAAAAGCAAAGGGGAAAAATAAAAAAAGAAAAAAGCAAAGGGGAAAAATAAAAAAAGAAAAAAGCAAAGGGGAAAAATAAGAAAAAGGAAGAAAGCAAAGGGGAAAATAAAAAATGAAAAGGGATTTTTTTTTTAAGGGGAAAATAAAAAAAAAAGGAAAAGGGGAAAGTAGAAAAGGAAAAGCTCGAGGTCTGCAGCCTCTGGTACTGCTAGCAGAACAGCAAAGGTACTGGTGCCAAGTGCAAGGAAAAGTTGTGATGCCGACAGGCAGCTGCTTGAAGCTAGGCTGAAAACGACTCTTTACCTCTCTCGCCATATATATACATATTTTATATATATGTATATATATTATAAGCATATATACACATATATGAATATATATGTACATATGTGTATATATATGTGCATACACATGTATTGCACGCATATAACACACACATATACACGCATATATATGCCCACACATACATCTATACACACACATATATATACATACATACATATATATGTGTGTGTGTATATATATATATATATATATATATGCGCACGCACAGGTCCTATACCAGGGTCCTATAGCCGAGCAGCAGCAGCGCTGCGGCGCCCGCGCCCACCCCGCGTCCCTCCCTGGCGGGAGGCGGCGGCGGGGCCGGGCCCCGAGCTGGGGGCTGCCCTGGGAGCCGGCCCCGCCGTTACCTTGTCGAGCAGCCCGTTCCGGCCGCCGCCTTTGGCCGCCATCTTCTCGCCGCCCGCCCGCGCCGCGCGACCTGTTCGCCGCTCATTGGCTGTGGCGGCGGCGCTGGGGCTGGCGGGAACGCGCGGGGCGCGCCGGGAAATGGAGTCCGCTCCCTCACTCCGGGGGGGGGCGTCGCCGTCGCTATGGCGACGCGGTGGGGAGCGGGCGGCGCGGGGAGGTGACAGGGCCGCGGCCGCCCTGTCCCTGTCCCTGCCCTTGTCCTTGTTGTCCCTGTCCCTGTCCTTGTCCCTGCCYCTGTCTCTGCCCCACGGGGTGAGACAACGAGCGGGGGGCCGGCCCCACGGCCTGCGTTGTGGTGGGGGTGCGGGGCAGCTCTGTTACCGGGAGGACCCTGAACTCTATGGTCCCGTGGGGGTGTTGGAGGTGTGTGGGGTTGTAGGGGTGTGTGGGGTGTGTGTGTGTGTGTATATGTTTAGGAGGGCTTTAGGGGTGTAGGTGTATGGGGAGTGTGTGTGTATGTGTGTGTGGGGGTGGGTTGTAGGGTGTTTGTGTGTGCATTGAAGGGTGTAGGGTGTGTGTTGGGTTGTAGGGGTGTGTGTAGGGGTGTGTGGGGAGTGCGTGTGTGTTTAGGAGGGCTTTAGGGGTGTAGGTGTTTGGGGAGTGTGTGTGTATGTGTGTGGGGGGTTGGGTTGTAGGGTGTTTGTGTGTGCATTGAGGGGTGTAGGGTGTGTGTTGGGTTGTAGGGGTGTGTGTAGGGGTGTGTGGGGAGTGTGTGTGTGTGTTTAGGAGGGCTTTAGGGGTGTAAGTATATGAGGAGTGTGTGTGTATGTGTGCGGGGGGTTGGGTTGTAGGGTGTTTGTGTGTGCGTTGAGGGGTGTAGGGGGTGTGTTGGGTTGTAGGAGTGTTTATGTGTAGGTTGTGTGCAGGTATCTGTGGGGTGTCAGGGTGGGCGTGTCAGTGGGGTGTATGAGGGTGTGCGTGGCTGTTGAGGTTGCCTGTAGGGTCGTAAGGCAGATGTGCGTGTGAGGAGTGTGGGTGAGTGGGGTGTGGGGGTGTTGGGGGGGGCCTGAAGAACGTGGGTACCACTTTGTAAGGGTGTGCGAGGGTGTTGTGGGTGCTTGTGTGTTGGTGCAGCAGTGTGGGTGGGGGTCTGGGAGCGTGTGTTAAGGATGTGGGTGTGTATGTGGTGGGGTGTGTTCAGGGGGGGTATGTGAGGTRTGTGTGCTAGGTGTTGGGGTGTATATCTGTTGGGGTGTATATCACACTGGGGTGTGTGAGGGTGCTCATGGGTGTGTGCGTGCGGCTGTGTGTCAGAGCGGGGGTGTTTAGGGGTACAAGTGGGTGGGGGGCTGTGTGGAGGGCTACGTGTCAGGATGAGTGTGTGTGTTTCYAGGGGTGTTCGCCTGTACGTAAGGGTTTGTAACATGGGATGTGTGTGTGTGAGAGCGGGATATAGGGAAGGTTCATGGAGTTTGGGGGTGTAGGGACATGTGGGGTGTGTGGGGGTGTACCGGTGGTGGTGTAGTCGTGAAGATACGTGTTGTGTGGCTGTATGTGTATGGTTGACTTGTTGGGGTGCACCCTTATCCGTGGTGTTGTGTGAACGGAGTGTGAGGGGTGTTCGGTGGCTGTTCATGGTGGGCTGTACATGCCTGTGGCTTGTGTGGTGCTCACGTGGGTTGTTTGCAGGTGTAGGGGAACAGGTAGGTTTGTGTCAAGTGTATTCGGGTGTTCTGTCAAGCATATTCGGGTGTTCGTTTGTGGGAAGGGGTCCCGCAGTGACTGTCCCTGCCGCAGCCGCGCTGTGCGGARCGTTGTTGCAGTACAGCCACTTGCTGCGGCTGTGTCACAGCACCTYGCTGCTGTACCATGGCAACGCTGCGCACAGCCGGCAGGGCAACAGCCGGGGGTACCCGGAGACGTGGCTGTGCTGCCTGCACATAGTCRTCATCCAGCGGATCCCTGTTGTTCAGGGGGTAGTTATCCCAAATACCGCCACTGTGCATAAACGCTGTAGTCAGGCGGTGCTGCCTCATGTCCAAGCGCTCTCAGGGTGTGGAAACACCATCAGATGGCAGCAGGARGTACAACCGTCAAACATCCTTAGACTGTAACACTGTGCAGGAGACTACAGCCTCCAGGGAGGTGCAGGGGGTGACAGGGCCCTTTTCTTGAGGAGTCCCGTGGGATTTGATTATCGGGGGCTCCTGGGGTGTCAATGAATGTCAGGAATGTGATCCTATTGAGTACAAACTAATCCCTAACTGGAAAAAGCCTAAGCAATTCAAGCATTGATGAAGATTTTAACCCATTTTCTTGTTTCTCGCTCTTCACGGCRATACAGGTGACAAGATGGCTACAAGTGGACTGTACAAGATGGGTGACGGAAGCAGCTATGCAACCAACTGCTTCCCTGCCAGGAGCATCTTGGGCACGAGTAAAGAAGGTGACGTTTCTTTGAGCGCTGCTTGGTGAGCAGGGTGAGGTGGTGTCAGGCTTAGGACGGATCCACAGAGGCCTGACCAAGAGGAGCCCAAGGGCTGAGCTGGTGGCAGCCAACCTGAAGGGCAATTGCAGAGGTGATGGAGCCAAATTCTTCTCAGCACGGGCAGGTTGTATAACTAGGGGCACCAGCTACGAATTGGGAGGTTGAGGTTGGACAACAGGAGGAACTTCTTCCCTGTGGAGGGCTGCAGCTCTTGGCCAGATGACCCCGGAGGTGGTAAAATTGCTGTTCTTGCCTATACAAAGACACCACTGACCTGATTTACTGCTGCTGAGTCCCACTTGAAGCAAGATTAGAGGCCTTCTGAAGACCTCCATCCCAGAAATGGGCCTCCATCCCAGCCCACTTCCCTCCATCTGCAAGCCTGAGGCTCTCTTTTCATTTATAAAGTAACTTCTCCCCTTCCATGGCTCCGGCTGAAGCTTTGATACCCTTGTCTTAAATAATATGGTCACAAAATATTTTATATCCCAGTGTTTCTACATTTGAAGGGATTTGAAAATGATGGATCTCGGTGTAGGGCTGAAAGCCCAAAAATAAAGTGACCACCTGGTGAATGTCTCTTCTGCCTTGGTCTGTCGTTGTGGCAGGGGCTGGGCACTGGCTGCTGGCACGTGGAGCACCCCGGAGGTCCTGGAATAAGCAGGGAGTCCCTGGGGAGATGCCCAAGCAGAGGAGGAAGCCCCAAAATTTGGCCACTGCAGAAGAGGACAAGGTCCTAGATGAGCCGTTTCTGGTGAGAGCAGATTTCCTATTTAAAGCAAGTGACAACGTTTCAAGGACCAGGGGGACCTGGTTGGTGSGTGGACAGATGCTCTAGCTGCCTCTGCTCCCCATCCTGAAGCCATCCSCCTGCTCATGGAAGTCCTGGGTTTCCCCCTTCTCATCCTCACCAAGGTTCAAACACCAGATGCCCACGCAGGTCGGTGTCCCACCATGAGAGAGAGATCTGGTTTGGGGCTTCAGGCCCTAGGAAGTCACCTATGGGATCACTAACGTAGGTGAAGATGGGCTAAGCCTTTGCTTTTTTGTTTTTCCAGATGAAGCATCACTGTTTGAAGAACCCTTCTGACTTGTGCTCTGCGAATATAAGCAACCAGAATCTGGTCTCGGTGAGTGTCAGAGACTCGGGAATTATTAGGGAACTACCTTTAATGTCCAAAAGTTTCCATGTTGGCACATGAATGTCGAGACATGGGACAGAACACCAGGCACAAGAAATCCTTTTCTGCACAAGAAGGCCAYCCAGCCTTGAAGATGTCTGCATGGATTGTCCTACAAACCTTTCGGTCATGTCTTTGTGGCAGAATTACCTTGACCTTCACCAGATGTTCCCCACTGACACAAAACCCTTTGCACATGGGTGTTGTGTACTTGAGGTGACAGGCCATGGTGGGAGCTAAACCTGCAGGTTCTTGAACCTCTGCCCAAGAAGTGACTTTTATTTCTGAGAAAATGAGCCGAACTGCTGATGATCATTTTAGATAGATTTGGGTAGATGGGTTTGGGACTGAACTAAACCAAGTCTCCCGAGTGACAATAGTCACTGAATTAGCTCTGCATTAGGGACAGACTCCCAGAGTTACTCTCCATAGTMAAAAAAAAATTAAAGGAAGACCTAATTATGGAAATGCCATGGTGAAAAAAAGGAAGAGAAGAGAGATCCAGTTGTTTCAAACTAGTTTAGGGTTGGATCTGATTGATCTTTCTTCTGTATTTTTTTTTCCAGGCTAAAGAAGATGATTTTGAGAAATTTGACTGTGTCGCTTTTATAAATGCTGCAGAGAACCTGCTGACGTTAGGTAGGGGATTGCATTGCCAAAAACAATAGATATTGCTTTTAAATGCAGGAACATGATATAAGCAAGTTTATACTTGTCTATAATCATGTCTAGAGGCTTGCAAGGAGACTAAAGATACAGAAATATACAGCAGTTCTTTACAGAATTGCTTCCTGTCTGCTCTTTTCTGCTCTTTCCTGAGCAGAAATCCTTGCACTGATTCCCTTTATAGTAATGATAATTACATGTCACCATAGACTTCATTATTAGAAAATAAAACTCTTTACAGAGAAAATTGTCATTTAATATATAGGAGTATGGAGTAATGCAGTGACTTGTTGCATGGAAAGCTAATGGCAGAACTGGGAGGTGAATCCAAATCCGTGCCACAGGCTCAGTTAATCCGAAGATGAAAAAGAGAAATCCATTTACACCTGGTAAAGCTTGAACTAAATGCACTAGCATTGGCTTCCAGCAATAATCCAGTTTGGAGTGGAAACAAATAGGTGCAGGACAGGTTTAAATCAGATGTCTAAGCAGGAGCCTCTTGGGCCTCCTAACATCTGTTGCACCCTCCAGTTGCCTCATTGAGCCTGTGTTTAATTTCAAGCAAAACAACCGTTAATCCTAGTTACAGTTTTTCATCCTAGTTACAAATTTTCATCCAAGCTATGGTTTTTCTTGCCAGTCTTGGTTCTTTCCAGAGCTGGAGAAGACACAGCTTGTTCTGCTGCTGTGGTTCCTTGCAGGAACTTTGTCTCTTCTACCCTTGCAGAGGCGTTTCGGAAGTTTCCAGGACTGCGGGAGCTGGAACTTTCCTTGAATGGACTAAGGAATCTGAAAATTACTGCTGGAGACTTCCTGCGTTTGGAAGTAAGATGGGGAGGAACCTCCTCTTTAGTGACTCCATCACTGGCTTCCCCCAGGCCAGCAGGATCCGCTTTGTGGAACCTTCTCCCCAAGCCAGCTCTCCTTGTCCTCCTCATCTCCTGTTCTTCTTTCACTCGTGCCCATAGGCCCTAATCCTGTTATGCCCAGTGCTCTGTCATTCACTGGGGTCACTCTTCACCTCCCTGCTGCTGTGGCACCCTTTGCATGTGCTGGTTGCCCTCTCACTCACTGCTTTGATCCTCTGACACAGAAGACCGAGGCTCCATCCATTCCAGAGCATTTTTGGTGGCCTGCTCAGGTTTGGCTTAGCCAGTCACCATAGACCTAAGTTTTGGGCAAGCAAATTTCCAAARATCCCGAGACCAGAGCTGGCGTTGTCTATCTTGGAGTGCAGCCCTCTGAGGAGGCCACCAGATCAGCTATGGAGGGTGTGGATGGGGCCCATCTGTATGCTATTCCCCATCTAAACGTCCCTTCCTATGATGCCCCCTAAGATTCCAGCACTGGTGGCCCCCCATCTTCTGACAGCCTGGGAGAAGACAGTGCTGGGAGGCCTGGTTGGAATTTCACAGTCATTGGAGTTGGAATSTGAGCTCCTCCCAGGGCAACACAGCCTGTTTTAACAGTCCAAATTATTGTCCTTCATGTGTCCTAGAAACCTCATCTTGTGAATCACCTCCTAGCATGGTCTTGCTTTCTTGTGGCTCTTGTCTCGTGAGTCACACACGCACATGAGGAACCAGCCCTGAGCACTTCTGCCAAGGTGCAGAGGCCCAAAGCTGTCAGTGAAGTCACCACAAGTGAAAAACACTCAGCAGCACCCAAGGGTGGGAGGCAACGTGGCCAAAAGTCTAGAGCAAATATTAGATATGTGCCTGGGAAAAGCCAGCAGAGACCAGCAGGAGGGCTTACTCCTTGCTCCAGAGGGTGCTCCAGAGGGTTGAGAGGGGATCTGATCAGTGTCCATAGATACCTCAAGAGAGGGAGTGAGAAGGATGGGGTGGCCTCTTTTCAGTGGTGGCCACCGATAGGACTAGAGGGAATGGCCACAAACTGCAGCACCAAAAGTTCCCCAGGAACTTAAGGAGGAATTTAACAGTGAGGGTGCCCGAGCCCTGGAACAGGCTGCCCAGAGAGGTTGTGGAGTCTTCTTCTCTGGAGATCTTCAAAACCCACTTGGACGCAACCTGTGCCACCTGCTCTAGGTGACCCTGTGTGTGCAGGGGGTTGGACTAGATGACCTCTGGAGGTCCCTTCCAACCTGAAGGATTCTCTGATTCTCTCTCCCATTTCTCTCAGGATCTGGACCTCTCCTACAATAACTTGTCCCCTGAGGATATCTGGACATTGGGAGAATTGTCCCAACTCAAGGTCCTTCGCTTGACGGCCAACGGGCTTCGGTCGCTGCCTCCTGACCTGGCGGGCTCGTGGGAGTGAGTGGACACAGCAAGGGCTGCTGGTGGGAACGTCGCCAGCCCTCGGACAGTGGGATACATGGGGTGGAATGCAGGGTGATGGATCCGTKGTCCTGGTGATGTAGGATTTAGGACAAGTGTGACTGTCCAGACCTGTGGAGATCTTCCCTAGGGAAGCTGATGCCAGGTGGCAGGGAGGTGTCCCAGTTCATCTCATCCCAACTCCAGCACTGCTGTTTGCGAAGGCTACTGGTTTCAGGAGACCCTCTGCTCCACAGGTTCTTCCCAGCAGAGCTTGGCAGGTCTGGGTAAGGGTACGCAGGACACAACCTCCTGACAGAGTCCGTGGTGTGTGAGGAGCCTCCTGGTCAGATCCCATTCTGATGTGGCTGGTGTGGCTTCGTCCTGCCTAGTGCTGGCACTGACCTAAGGTCCGGACCTACAGCCATGGCCACCCAGGACACCTACTGTCATTGACATGGTTGGGGCACCCTGTTTGGTGACCCAGGCACATGAGCAGGGTGCTGTTTATTCATCATTAATTGGACCCTTCAGACAGTGTAACTACAATAACCATGCCCAAAGCCTGGAGTGGGGCCTGTTGAGGCTGGAGAAGAGGAGGCCGAGAGGGGACCTGGTCAATGTGTGCAAGCACCCGAGGGGAGGATGGAGGCAGGAAGGGGCCAAGCTCTTGTGGGTGGTGGCCAGGGGCAGGCCAAGGGGCAGTGGGTGCAGGTTGGAGGCCGGGCAGCTCCATGTGGCCGTGGGGAAGAACTTGTTTGGTGGGAGGGTGCCCGAGCCCTKGTTGAGGCTGCCCAGGGAGGCTGCGGAGGCTCCTGCTCTGGAGACYTTCCCAACGCAMCTGGTGGAGCAGGTGCCCCGTGCTCTGGRTGTCCCTGCTGGAGCAGGGGGATGGATTGGGTGATCCCTAGAGGTCACTTGGAACCTCAACCATTCTGTGAGTCTGTGATCTGCTCTTGACCACAGCTGGAGACAAGGTGCTGGGCTAGATGGTTCTTTGGACTGATTCAGTTCAGCTGCCTTTAGAAGGATATCAGATTTATTTCAAAAAATGAAAGCCCAGTCTCCCAGTGGATCGAACAGACATCTGCCCCACGCGGTGGCAGGTGATGTGTTTCCCACCACCCCAGCCCTTGCTTGAGCACATTATTAATGAGTCATAGAATCGCAGAATGGTTAAGGTTGGAAGGGGCCTCTAGAGATCATCTAGTCCAACCTTCCTGCTCAAGCAGGCACACCTAGAGCATGTGGCACAGGGCGGCATCCAGGCGGATTTTGAAGACCTCCAGAGAAGGAGACTCCACAACCTCCCTGGGCAGCCTGTTCCACTGCTCTGTCACTCTCAGTAAAGAAGTTGCTCCTCACCTGGAGACGGAACTTCCTGTGTCACAGTTTGCACCCATTACCCCTTGTCCTGTCACTGGCCACCACTGAGAAGAGCTTGGCCGCTTCCTCCCTACATTCCCCCTTCGTGAACTTACACATGTCTCTCTGCGTTCACAGCTCCGCTCACTTGAGGTTTCCATCTCTTGAGGTCTTGCTGCTGGATGACAACTGCCTGTCGGAGCCGGGCGTCTTTGTGACCCTCGCGGACCTCTCCAGGTGAGGTGGCCCCTGACAGCCGCCTCTGGCAGAAACGAAGGACAAAACCTGGGTGTCACCCTGGGTGAGGGTGCCAGAGCCCTGGCACAGGCTGCCCAGGGAGGCTGTGGAGTCTCCTTCTCTGGAGGCCTCCAAAACCCACCTGGATGCCACCCTGTGCCACATGCTCTAGTTGTCCCTGCAGGAGCAGGGGGGTTGGACTAGATGATCTCTAGAGGTCCCCTCCAACCTTAACCCTTCTGTGATTTCAGTGCAGCAGTATTGGGAAACTCTGTGGACCAGCTGCCTGTGATTCAGCCAAGAAGTGTCACTAGGGAGGGAGGTGGCCCATGTGCCCCTTGGCCAGGCTGCAGCACCCAGAGCTTCTCCTGATTGCTTTGGGCCTCCTCCTGGTGCTGTGACCCAGAGGTGGGAACTGGGCCTGGATGGGGGTCCAGGCTCTGCCACGTTGTTCCTGAGCTCTGCACAGGACAGATTTTRTGTGTTGGGAGGAGAGCAGGGAAAGAGGCAGCGGGAACTCATGGATGCCTTCCCGATGGGAGGCTGGCACCGTGTGCTCACTGGAATCACCACATCTCTTGGTCACTTCCTTTCCCRCCAGTCTGAGGGAGCTGAATCTGGACAGGAACGAGATTTCCGCCGTCCCCTACCTGCAGCAAGCAGAGAGCACCCACTTCTTCCTGCACCCGGCGCTGGACGGCGACRGCTTCAGGGCAGAGTGGTACAAGGCCCTGAGCGGCCTCGGGCAGCGGCGGCACCGGGATGCGGAGGGGCCAGCCGAGCGGCCCCAACACGGCATGTCCCAAAGCACCGGGGGTCCCGAGTACGCAGGTGAGTGGCCACTGCCCTCGCTGAAAATGGGCAGCGTTTTCCACCCCTTTCAGTGGGAGAGGGCTTGGTTAGGCCAGGCTGGTGCCATCTCCATGTGGGGAAGAACTTGTTTGGTGGGAGGGTGCCCGAGCCCTGGCCCAGGCTGCCCAGGGAGGCTGGGGAGGCTCCTGCTCTGGAGACCTTCCCAACGCGCCGGGATGGAGCAACCAGCCACTCTCTGGGTGTCCCTGCTGGAGCAGGGGTTGGACTAGATGATCTTTGGATGAGCCTTCCAACCTCAACCATTCTGTGATTGTGATTCTGTGTTTCTCTGTAATTATCAGGAGAAACTGGCTCTTYAGGGCATCCTAAGGATGTTAAGGATCGGAAGGATGCCCTAAAGGAATCACCCTAAAATATTTTAGGGAATCACCCTAAAATAAACAACTCTTGTTTGGACACAAGTGCCCCTGGTCTCTCCTGCCCCTCTCCTTGCCCAAAGGAGACATTTTGCTCTGGGGAGGAGGAAACCTGCCCTAAGCACTGGAAGAAATTCAGATCAGGAAACTTATTTCTGTGGGTGCTGAACCAGGGTGTGGAGGGCCTGAAGGGAGGACCATTTTGTTGGAGGGTTCCCATGCAGGGCTCTGCGGTGCCAGGTCTCAGGTCGGTTGGCTCGCACATCTCCGATGTCCTCTGATGTCTCTGGTGCCCACAGGCCATGCAGTGGGGTGGATCCGGAGGATCCGTGCGTGGAGTGGGCAGCGATGGAGGCTGCTACCAGAGCTCCTCCAAGTGCCTCTTGTGTCCCCTGGCTCGGAGCACCAGGCCCTGCTCTTGGGGACATTGGGGAGTGCAACATGGTGCAACTCCTGGCCTGGCCGTAGCAGAGCCCAAGGAAGACTCAGCACTTGGAATCCAACACGTGGAATCCACATTTATATTTGGGAAATCCAGGCTGCACCGAAGCTCGGAGAAGGAGTCAGGGGATCTGTGATGGGGCTGTTCCCCCTTTACCTGGGGACATCCTGCCACTGAGCTGCACCCTGGCTGATGCTAACTTGTATTCCCAGKGTAATTCCAGGCTTGCTGTGACGGGAACGTGGCACTGAGCACCTCAGGGTGCTGAGAAGCCCTCCCTTTGCTTGTGTTTCCTTGCAGAGGTCGTTTTGGATTCTGGCTCTCAGGAACTCCTGGGGCCGGTAAGAACTGTTGGTTGATCTGCAGCTTCAGGTGTGTGTTCCCTTCCTGGGCCTCTCTCTCTGCTGAGGCCTAACAAACTCATTGGGTTTGCCACCAGCAAAGGTGCGACCTGCTCCAGAAGGAGCTCCAAAGGGAGCAGGTTTCCCAGCGTGATGATTCTTTCTCAACCTGACACCAAGAATATAAGGAATGAGGCCGCTCTCAAATCACCCRTGTGTTGTGGTTCACCTTCTCCCTCTCTCCTTAGGCTGTTCTCCAGGAGGGATATCCAGCCTYCTCGAAGGCTCTGCCCACTCCCACCACAGGCAGACACATTTGTGCTCCCTTTCCAGAGCTGCAGCATCTCAGCTTGGCCTTCAACAAGGTGACTGGAGCCCTCTGCCTTTAGCTAGAGCTCATGATTGAGCTGCCCAAAGGGGGCTGTAGTGCTCTGGAGAGCACCTCAACACTAAGTCCAGCTCCACTGCAGAAAGGGCCAGGGTTCCTCCGGTCCTGGGTCCATCTCCAGCCTCTGGAGGTGTCTCAGACATCCAAGGTCTCTCAACCAGGGCCGGACTCCTATTTAGGCAGCTGAATGGTTCTAAGGTTGTCTCAATCCCTGCACATTGGGGATTTCAGCAGTGAGGGGTGCACAGGGGAGAAGGAACCACAGTCTCTGCCCTGTCCTCAGAGGCAGTGGAGCTGCTGGACATCTATGCCCAGGTGGTGCCTTCTGCTGCTGTGTGGCTGCCAGTAGAGGATGTCCAACCCGGACTGCGTGTCCACAACAGGGATGGGACAGTGGAGCAGAGCCCAGTGTTTGCCCAAGAAGGATGTAGGGGTGGTGGGACAGTGTCTTGTGGATCCAAGAGTCCTTGCAGATCCTCCAGGGTCATCTCTAGGGATCCCAGGCCACCTTGGGCTGTTGTCTCTGTKGGGGTGAAGCTCTACAGCCACCAGYGGGGCTGAGCAGCAGCTGCTCAGAACGAACAGTAGATGATTTGGTCCTGCAGATTGAAGAGGAGGCAGATCTCCTACCTGTGGCTTTCTTCCCGTGCCTGAAGGAGCTGACSTTCCACGGAAACCCTCTCACCACCTCCAGGAGCGGTAGGGTATGAGCCAGTCTCCGTGCCTGTCTCCTCTCCATCCTCCTGCTCCATCYGGAGGTTCCTTTGCCATTAACATTTGGAAGTTCCCACCACGCTGGCCCAAGCCCAGGACCCCAGGGAGCTTGGGTGCTATTAAAGATGGTACAGGAGCTCTTGCAAACGCTGCCAATGCCCTGCTCCTATTCCCATCAAAGCCGGGGGAAAAGGACTACAGGCTCAGGCTGGATTTTGCTCCCTGAATGCTGCTGACCTCAAAAAGGGGCTGCTCTGGGACAAATCCCAAAGGCGCCCATGGCCTCAAGACGCAGCAGGTGAGATAACTAGGGCTCTTGTCAAAACAAATAAATAAAACAGTCCAGGGCTTCTTCTCTGGCCTTGAAGGCAAGTAGCCCAATCTGGTTTAGGTCCCTAGGAAAAAGGTCTTGTCCCCCCAAAACAGGGTGGCTTCTTCTACTCCTGGTAGAAGCTCCTGGTTCCTGTCCATGAGGTGCCAAGGACACTTGTCACCCTCTTGGACTTGCCACCCGAGCACAGGGCTGTGCAGGGCACGTGAACCCCTGTTTTTCCAGGGCAGCCTCCTCTGCTGACGAGGCTCCTGCAGGAAAATTTGGGGATTAAGCTTGTTCGCCAGAGGGTAGTCGTGGAGAGGCTGCACTTCACCATTCCTCTCAAGGCCAGTCGCAAGGTAAGGACAGATGTGAAGGAGGCACCTTGCTCCATGCAGGGCTTTCCCTGGCCAAAGCAGGGGCAAAAGTCCCTGGCTGCATCTTCAGGGTGGGACTTGGGGACACAAAAAGAGCTTGAAGGCCCCTAGATCCTGATTGGATTGGTAGGATGAGAGGAAAGAAGGATGGGAGAGAGTTGGAGGCCTTTGGTCTCTTGCTCAGGGTGAGGACGGGGAATCCAGCCCCTCCAACTTGCTCCCTCAGAGGGTTTTTGGGCTCAGTCCTACACATTTGAGGTGTTGCCAGGGAACTGCTGCCAGGGTATCCCTGGAGCTGGGGYTGCCGTGGCTCTCTGGCCAGGAATAACCTCCATCCTCCAGTTTTGACCCCACGCTGATGCTCACCGTGTCACCGAGGGTGGCAGGATTTGGGGTCTGGAATGAGCTGCCCGCAGCCAGGCTCGTGGCTTTGGTTGTGTCCCTGTTCGTGCAGAACGAGCCCTGTCCTCCCTTCCGCCCCCRCCAGGTCTCGTCCCGTCTCCCAAAGGTCACGAAGGCGCCGCTGATGCTGGAAGCTCCTGCTGGGACCTTTCCATGGAAAGCCGGGAGAGGAGCTGCGGCTCTGAGTCCATCTAAGCCTCTGCCTCCCATCGGAGCATCCACGGAGCAGAGAGAAGGGTCTTGTGAAGAGCAAGAGGAGGCCGGGAAAGGCCCGGGGCAACCTGCTCCACCTCAGCCCCTTCTCCCGCACAGCTCCGCTCCGGCAGCGGGAATGGGGAAAGCTCCTGCAGGTGCTGAGCATGGCCAAGACAGGGAAGGGACCCCTGGGCCTCATCCAGGTGGAGCCCAAGAGGCCGTTGGATCCTTCTTCTTGACGCAGGTGTGTGAAGTTGGGCTACAGACYGGCCTCTGCAGGAGGCCAGGGAGAGTCCAGGGCTCCGGGGCTTGTCCGGAAACACCCTGCRGGCAGGAGCTTCATTCCTACATGAGGGAGAAGTTGCACACACTGTGGCCTCCAGCAGATAAAACACTCCTTAGGTCCYAAGGSATGTCAAGGTGGAAGTGCCACTCTCAGCTCTTCTCAGTGGTGGCCAATGGCAGCACAAGGGGTAATGGGTGCAAATGSCAACACTGGCAGTTCCATCTCCATGTGAGGAGGAACTTCTTTAACTGTGAGGGTGATAGAACCCAGGAACAGGCTACCCAGGGAGGTTGTGGAGTCTCCTCTGGAGGTCTTCAAAGCCTGCCTGGATGCCACCCTGTGCCACATGCTCTAGGGAGAAGAGGAGGCCGAGAGGGGACCTGGTCAGTGTGTGCAAGCAGCCGAGGGGAGGATGGAGGCAGGAAGGGGCCAAGCTCTTGTGGGTGGTGGCCAGGGGCAGGCCAAGGGGCAGTGGGTGCAGGTTGGAGGCCGGGCAGCTCCATGTGGCCGTGGGGAAGAACTTGTTTGGTGGGAGGGTGCCCGAGCCCTGGTTGAGGCTGCCCAGGGAGGCTGCRGAGGCTCCTGCTCTGGAGACCTTCCCAACGCRCCGGGMTGGAGCGGATGCCCCGTGCTCTGAGTGTCCCTGCTCATGGTTGGACTAGATGATCTTTGGATGTCCCTTCCAACCTCAACCTCTCTGTGACTGTGGTTCGGTGACCRAGTCTTGTTTCCCTTTCCAATCTGCAGCAAGTTCCTGTCATGGGTTTTTTGGCTTGATCTGCAGCAGGATCAGGGCCACCTCTGGCTCTACGAGGTTCCCCTAGGGAAGGAATTCACCTCAGCTTGACTRGAAGGAAACAACTGCCGTGAATTCCCTGATTTTGCTGCTTCCAGGTGGAGGATGTGGCCAGGYCCCCGCTGCGCCCTGAGGCAGAGGACGGTCTGGAGAGGAAGAGGAGCGAGCAGAGGGAAGGAGGAASCTCCCCAGCTGTTCCCGAGCGCTACAGAGGCTACGAGGAGCTTCTTGGTGGAGACGTGGACCCGGATTTCATTGAGCCGGTTGGTATGTGAGGAAAGGGACGGGCTGGKCATGGAGATGACTTGGTGGATGGATGAGCAGCACGGTCCTCCTGGCCTCAAGGCTCCCCTAGACCTCGTGGGGTCTGTGGGGACACATTCTGCCCCCATTCTGGGGCGTCTCTCATCCCGGAGCCCTCACAGGGATACAGAGGAACGTCCAGGCGCTGACCCAGCTCCTGAAGCACCCGCGGGTTTATCGGGACTCCGCGCCGCGGCTCCACAGCGGGCAGAAGCCCTACGTGCCTCGGAAAAAGGTGAGGAGCCCAAACTCCCAAGGGAGAACCGTCCATTCCGGAGCATCTGCAGCTGGGAGCGGGAGCAACCTGTGTGCCAAGGGGAAGATCTCGGAGCTGCTGCATGGGCTGCACCCGAGTTACTCATTCCAGTGCCTCCCTGCTCCATCTTAGTCCAGCCCTTCAAGGGCAAAACGCTCCCGGGTACCCAGGGCAGCTGCTGTCATCTGGGCACAAGCCCCATGTGCTGCYGCCCTTGGCTTCCAAGGTGGCTTCCCAGGGGACTCTATTGGAGTCACGGCATCGTGCCGGGCTTGYGGAAGCTGCCCGGCTGTTGCCCGGTGCAGATGTGATTTTGGCAGCTCACATGGGCCTGTTTGCATCCACAGGAAGCAAATGTCTCAAGTCCCACCTGCAGGAGCTCGGGACTGTAGTGGTGGAGGAGGGAGGGCAGGAGAAGGTGGCCGAGCAGCACYCTGGACGGTGGAGGTTGAAGCCTCCTGGTCTTTCTTGCAGTCTGGGAAGATGCCGGGTCCTCCGCCCCGAAGGACRAAAGCAGAGGTGCTGGAAGGGCTCCTGATGGCCATGCGAAGCACCCCAGCCGTCACTGAGGTGCCCCTAGGTGCGTTCCCCTCGTTCCCCCCTGGGTTAACTCGGATTAACCCTATCCCRAAGTCCCATCTTGGCCATCACAGCAGCCCCATGGCCACGTTCTCGGGCTCGGGGCCGTGGGGCTGCTGCAGGGACATGAGAGAAAAGGAGTCTTTGGAAGGAGCAGGTCCCTGACACCGCTCCCACCTCTGACCTTCTCCAGTGTCCGTTCTGCGAGGGAAAAAATCCAACCCCAAAGCCTATCGGGAGGCCCTGAGGCTACTGAGGGACTTCCAGGAGGAGGTGGCCAAGGGTCCTGTCCACGTGGAGGAGCGCGCCCCGGGTCAGACCAGCTCCGTGGATGAGATGCAGGTCATGAAAGCCCTGCTGGTGGAGGCGGCTTCCACGCAGTGGAGCCCCAAACAGCTCCGACCACCGAGGGAAAAGGTGACCAAGAAGCTCCTCAAGGTGAAGTTTGCAGCGTAGCCAGTGGTTGAATAAAGCATCTCCCACCTTGTTGTCTCAGGGGACAATTTGGTTGCTTCCTAAGTTGTTTGGAGCCAGTTTTTCTTGCTCCTAAGGTTTGGAAGTCCCTGCAGGGAAGGGATTTGGGCGGCAGTTTCCAGCTGGACTCCCTCCATGGCAGCACATGGAGATGCCAAGCGCGCGCCGGCCCGCCCTGCAATAAATACAATTCAATGCAATAAAACACGCCGTGCAGCAGCTACGAGCACCCAAAGGGAGTGCAATTTGCCCTAAAAAGCAGACTGTGAAAGGATGGTGGGTAGTGGGAACCCCACATTGCGTCGAGTGACCAACTGGACCCCAAAGAGCGGGGTCGAGCCCCAACCACACTCTGCAACCCCCAGATCCTCTCCCCACGCGCCGTGGGGACGAGGGCAGCAGCATCAGCACCCCCACGTAGCCTCTTCACCRTTCTCCCCGCTTTTACACGCAGCAACCCTGACAAAACCATCGAAACCAGCTCAGCGACCGTTAACAACCTGGTTTTATTCCGTTTGAAGCCGGGCCTTTGTCCTGCCTCYGTCAACACGTAAACACGAGCGCCGTACACGCGGGGCCTGTTTCTGCCTTGGGACACGTTTGCACGAGCGGCATTTACTCCGTTCCAAACAACAGAAGCCACAACAGGACGAGACGCCCGCGGGGCGCTTCGATCCACCGCGGGTTTGGGTTTTTTTTGGCACATGCAAGCGGAGAGGCCTCCGGGAGCTCCCGTCGCTCTGAAAACAGTTGCACGAAGCCACAGCGGTTCAGCAGAGCACCCTGCAACGGCCGGGGCCTTTCCCCACACCGGCCTTCCCATTGCAAGTTGAGGCTAACACGAAAGCACGAGGATTTAAAGCGGAGAAAAGTGCAGCAACATCTATATTTTGCTCCAGACAGCTTGACAGGAAACACCAAGAAAACCAGGCGTACACAAAACCCCAATAACGGGAGCAGATTTGCGTTGATTTTTTTTCCTTTTTGCATAGTGAAGAGCTCATTCTAGATCCGTTTGATGCTTTGCAGTGTTTTAGAGATGGGGTGAAGGGGGAAGAAGGAAAAGGTTGGAGCAGATTGAGGCGCTGGGGCCGGCTCCTCACGAGCCTCCCATGCGAGGCCGGCCTCCGACCCACGTGCAGAGGCACGGGGAGGTTTTAAGGCTTCGTCTCCCTCCTTGCTTGGGCCGAGCCCCTCTTGCCCCACCACAGGGTCCTGCRCACGCAGTAGCCCTTGGAAGGCAACCACTGACGAGAGGAAGAGGAGAACACGGCACCGTCACCTCGCGCCATCCCTCCTTTTGGCACGTCGCCTTCATTGGCTTGCCTGGCGTCTGTTCCGACTCCAAAAACGAACCATAAAACGTCACGTTTGGTGTTTTTTCCTCCCCAAAGAAGCTCCAGAGAGGCAAAAGTTGCGTTTTGGAGTCAGGTGGCATCTTTGGCAGATCGTTCTGTTATCAAACATCCCCCAACCCCTTTGGGGCAGGGGGCTGTGCTAGGAGCAGCGCAACCTCCTGCCCCGTTTGGTTCTTAATTCGTAATTCTTAATAATTCCTAATTAATTCTTCTCCCGAGAGGGCAACGGAGGTGAGAGGCAGCTTCACATTTTGGAGGGGCCCAAAGCAGCCCAGGGAGCAGCCGGCTGCAGAAAGGAGCAGAAACCGCTCGCAAACGGATCGGAATCCAGAGGTGCTTTTGCTTTAGGGCCCCTGCGCATCTCGAGCTGCAGATCTTGAGCTTGAGGAGCCTTTTGCTTCTCGGGTGCTGCTTCTTGGGGCAAAGGAAGCGATTTTTGGGATTTCCAGGATGCAATTTCTGCTCTTTTAGGCGACCTTGTATGCAGCTACTTTTTGGGCAAGTTTATCCCAAATTAAGCAAAGTTTACACCAAATTAACATTCATGATAGCATAAAATGACCTATTTCAGCCTCGGGATGCTGGGGAAGAAGGAGACGTGGCCATCGCCAGCACCATGAAACCGGTGGCCACCTGCGTCTCCAAGCGAGCAGAGACTCAGCTTTAAAAACGACCACACAAAACCCCTAAATCTTGACGTTTTCTTTAGTGTGGAACTTAGGAAACCGAATCCGAGTGGATCAGGGTGGGTTTCCAGGCGTAGCTCGGTCTTTAGAGCTGCTACCATGTGCAAATTCGGAGCGACACCGGTTCCGTCTCCGCGCCGCTCGTCTCGGGGCAATAACTTAACTTCCCCAGGCTGCAATAACTTAAATTCCCTCCACTTTGCTGCTCCATGAGCACAATGTAGTTCGAGCCCAAAGACTCAGTTGGCACCTAACG